AGATCGAATTCACCCCCAGTTTTTACCTGCGAAGCTCGGCCGAATCTCACAGACCACAGATATGCTCCAACGGAGCATGACGGCCTACATAGTACATACAGCCCACGGCTTGACTGATATGCTGACAGCCACAATTCCGCGCCGTTTTTTCAACCCGCCCACATCACGGCCGTGCCGATCGCCCATCTCCTTTCTGGCAAAGCTGCCGTTTGTAGCTGCCCTTTTGCCTTTTGGCGCCGAACGACTTTTTTCTCGCTCTCACCTCAGCCTGCCAGCCGACCTACCCGTTCTGCAATCTTTACTTTCATCAGGTCCACCAATTGCCGGTACCCCTTAGGACTTCCGAGGTGAAGTCCGAGCCATCGTTCACGTCACATCATTGCCCTTTCAGATCCAACATGTGGGTATGGCATGTTTGGTCTCGTTGACGGCGCGTTTTGAAGACTACTCTGACCCCCCTCGCTTCCAACTGTCCATATCTGTTTACGAAGAGGCGTTCGTCCGGTGTTCTATGATGGTTGCAAGATTTATCCCTTCTGCCCGTCCTTGCAAATCTTACTGCCACAAATATCGCCGAACATTTTCTCCTTTCCCATAGGTGTGCCGCCTTCTCAAGCCCAACCCACTTCGTATCGTTGTTGATACGGCTATATGCGGTTCGACTCCACGTCCACACACTTCCATAAGTTCCTGTGCTCTTTGTACGCCCACCGGCTCAAGCCAAGGTACCTAAAAATCCGTGGATTGGCCCGCCAAAAGAGACACGGCGCATTTTGAGCTGTCCCGCAAGCCTTCCCAAGCTGAGTGAACGCCGCCAGCTCCATCGCTGAATCCTGAGGGTGTACCAGATCCAGTTTTTCCCCACGATCTCGTACGCTGTGCGCAATCTTGGCTTTGTTGCCTCTCTGTGGGCTGAACATTGGTCCTCGTTGTTATGGAGTTGCCTAATCCGCGGACCACAATACGAGCTTTGCCGGCGACTGGCAAAACAGCCCCGGCATTTTATTCGCGAGGTGTTACCTTCAAAGCTGGACTCGAATCTCTCCTGGGCCTAGCGCGGGCATATGTCATTCGGGCTCCAGCGCTGCCAGTCTGGAAGCTCGTAGGGCTACACTTCCGGGATGCAACCCAAACGCCATCATCCCAGCGCTTATTGGCCCTGCTATGATTGACAGGCTCTGCTACCCAAAAAACCACTACTGCGCGCACCAATGCTTCAGGTGAGGTGGGAACCACGACGGTGAGGCACCCTCTGGAAGCTGAGCCGCACCACCGTTTTGGTGGCATGACGCCGAGGGGGAAAAGCAACCTGGAGTTGTTTCCTTCAGGCTAGCGTCGCTCTCGGTTTCAACGATTCCTTCACAAAGAAACATCCGGAAGATTTGGTTTCTCGTCCGGCAAAGCCCTGTCCATCGGCACTCAAGGTTGCAGAGTCGCCCGTTGGCGAGTCTAAGACAAAACTTTCAAACGTGTTCCCGAGAGACCCGCTAAGCTTTAGGCTCGAACCGTCGGCACGCCGAGGCCGCCGTCACATAACTATGGAAAGTGTCAGTTCGTGGCACCAACTCTATGTCTATAGTCCAAGGTATCCTCGGTTCACGTCCGCGATGCTGCTATGGATCATCCTTGCTTGTGATCCAGGCGTGCTTCTCGCACTAGGTTGGCTCTCGTATAGATTGTCGTATGAACATATCGGTAATTATCTCGCAGAGATGCAGAGATTTTGGGTAAGATGACAGTGTCTTCGGTCCGCCGTCGTCCGATCCCGAATTTTGAGTTCGCAATCATCCGATCCGGCAGCTGTGCCGACAATCCGGCTCGGTGCGTATCGGACCCGCTTTCTCCGGGGCCGGTACTACCTTCCATTTTAGGTATCCTCGTAAGGTTGATTCAACGACTTCGATGCGCCGCCTTCCCTCGTCGTATTTAAGAATGAAGACTTATGTCAAGGCAGTCATCGTTGCATTTGCGAATTCACAGGGCATTATAGACATATTTCCAGATACTGATAGATCAGGGGCAAATTTCTTGTTTTGACTGAGTTTTATTGACTAAGGTACTGGGTAGCTAGCTACTAAAGAGTATCTTCACCGTTCAGGTGTGACTGCGAATGGAGAAGAGAACATCTTCATCCTACAGGTGTGATTTTGGTCATCCTGCCACCATTCCACGACCAAGTCATGCTTCCTTGTATCGTCCTTGGCTTACTTGCTGGGAGGAAGGGGCTTGGGAGCCGGGTCGGGAGGGGGGTGAGGAGGCTTGGGGCGAGTGACGGGCCAAGTGGGAGCCATGGCGTCGGTTTGGTTGATGGTGTCGGTTGTTTGGGTAATCGTTGTGGTTTGATGTATGGTTCTTTGCAGAAGATTGCTGGTTGATGTTTGAGAAAGTGGTAAGTTGGTAGGTTGCTTGAGTGTTTTGAGTGTTTGGTTTGGTTGATTGATTGATGTCTGAGTGTGTTTGATGTGTTGATGATGTAGAAGAAGGATGTTTGTTGATTTCGCGGTGGAGATGTTTTGTTTTATAGTGTTGCTGGAGAGGGCGGTCTCGAGGTAGTGAATCATTCACGAGAGCGCGCATGATGGTGACTGTGGTTAAGATATGAGGTAGGTGATCATCTCTAGCTGTCGGAACAGCTTCTTCGGAGATGATCGTGATGCACGGAGAATGAACAAGGCTTCTATTCACAATTGATGATCGTCCAGACTCTGGTCCGTTGACGATCCTGGCATCTTGCTTTCCCATCTCCAATGCCATGCTATGTTCTTCGCGAACAGGCGTGTCTCGTGAACAGGGTCTGTACCACGCGAAGCTACGGGCATTGACTTGATTGCCGGTTAAGGTTCCTTTGAACACTGGGGACCGGCTGCTTGGCGATAGAAAACATTGGCAGGCCGATGTCCATCTCTGCCGAGACTGCCCGTGAGGTTCTCGGAGTTGCACAAGAAAGTTGGTCTGTTGAACAATGAGTCCTCATGGGCTTCTAGGCTTCGATTGACAGCATTTGTTCTGCTTGCTCTCGTGTGAAATCGTCGTTCCAGACACGCGCTTATATCCGAGAGGAGGTATGCAGTGCGGTGGTAGCACAGCTTAGAACACTTGCGCATGTCGTCAAAGAACTTCATGAATAGCCTTTGCGACGATGTTTAGAGATACTGCATGTCCTCGACTGCTCGTGTTCAAGATGTCTAGAACACCACGGCATAGTACAGAGCAGATACACCCAGATCGAAGAGTCCTCATGCGCGATTTCTTAGGGCGGCAAAGCCTGCCGCGCTACCAGTGGACGTCCGCGGCTAAGATATGTCTGCGGTCTGCTAATCAGATGGGTGACCCTGCGAGAGCTGTAGTCCCTTCTACAAGAAGCATATGGACGTCTGCAGAGCTGTTCTCCAAATTGGGACTTCTTCCGGGACGGTACCCTCGTTTTCCGACATCGTGACTTGTGCCTGATATCACCAATTCGCATTGAAACGCTCCGAATCCCCGCAAGGCGTGTGTTCATGCATGCACCGCAACGGCGATAAGACACCACTCGAAGCCGAGTCGCGATTTTTCACGTGATAACCAATTCCATCTTATGAGACGCCGACATCCATATGTAAGCATACGCCCGCTTACCCAAGCAATTCCCCCACGATCACCACCAAACACCAAGCTCAAGGGTCTCGCGCTGAACCTCGCGTCCCGAGAAGCCGCGCGCTTCCTGTCAATGCTACCATCAATTGCACAAGGCTTCAAAGCAAGATGCCACAAGTAGTTAGCTTGACTGCTGTAATTGGCTTGGTCGGTGTCTCTGCAGGCGTTGATCGAAGCTTGATTTCCTGCCTTATTCGCTAGCGCTTATGTTTCCTGGGCCGTTATCCGCCGCTAACGCGATGGCGTCGCATCTCATGAGCGGGGCATGTTTATGAATGCGAGGAAGAAGATGGAAGATAACTGATTGTATGGATATTTAATAAGTTTGATGATTGATTGAGTTGAGGATATAAGAAGTTCTGGTCCCGCCAAGACTGGGTCCCGAACAACAATCAACGACATCCGTACATCATCACCACACACTTCTCCCACGCAACATCCGACCCTCACTCAAGAAGACCCTCAAGCATTATCATCAGTCATCGCCAGATTCACAACAAGATGTCCGACCAAACAACCCCTAACACCTCACCACAAGCAACCCCTCTCCCCCCAGTCCGCCTCATAACAACAGGCCACACCAAAGAAGGCACCTCAATCTTCACATCCGACGCCGTCCTCCCACCATTCCATCCCTTCGGGCCCAAAGCAAGCAGCTTTACATCCTTCCACACAACTCCCAGCCTGCCCGCCTCCAACTTACCAAACACCCCTCCGCAAACCCTGTCAGCATCCCTACCGCGCGCACCAGCGGCGGGCACGTACTTCTGCCTCACCGATTTCCCACCACGGTATAAGGCGCCTATGCACCGGACTCTCAGTGTTGACTATGCGTGTGTGCTGGCTGGGGAGATTGTGCTTAGGCTGGATGGCGGGGAAGAGAAGGTTGTTAGGGCGGGGGAGGTTATTGTGCAGGGAGGGGTGAATCACGAGTGGGTTAATGCTTCGGATGGGTTTACGAGGGTTTTGTTTGTCATGGTTGGGTCTGAGACTGTGGTTCTTGATGATGGGCGAAGGTTGGAGGAGACCGTTTTCAAGAAATGAAGGAGGGGTATGCGGACTGTGGTGATGGTACTCGGAAGCAGCTGGTTCCAGCTTAATTATTCAAGTTTCTCCTCTAGACCCGTCGACCTTTTTGCTGGGCAATTCCTAAACGTTCTTCCTCGGGCTACAGTACAAACGTCACTGGTATTACGTCCGCCTGATGACTTTGAAAATTCTGTACAACACGGTCGGAGCAGAGACACGAAATAGATAGGGCATACGTAGATTCTCTACCCGATCCTCTTCACCTCACCAGTCATTCACCATAACACAACCACTCAATGGTTCCCATACAACAACTTCCGAAGGTTTCGATGTGTTCAGCAATCGCCGTCTTGTTCGAAGAGCTGAGTCAATTCAAGAATGTCATCTTGGAGTGAGCTCTCGATTTTTTCTTGCAAGACCTGTACAATGCCATGGTCTTCCATCATGTGAGGACCGTCCACAGGATAAGGTTTCTTCATCAGTGATGCCAAATACCTTGCTTTCTCCAGATCGAGTTCTCGCAAGGGTATTGTACGAGCAAAGTCGAGAATTAACTTGACAACTTCAAGGTGGCTGCCTGCTGCCGCCGCTGAAAGTGCTGTTCGTAGTCTTGTAACTCGGTTCTCGACACTTTTCTCATTCAAACATTTGAGGAATTTCCGAACAATATCCACATGGCCTCCGAATGACGCTGCGGAGAGAGGATCCAGGGCCTTTAGTTCGAAGTCCGAAATTTCTGTTCGAAGCCAGGTTTCCAGTTTCTTGGAATTTCCTTTCCTTATAAGCGAGAGCGACTTCCGAACTCCAGTCCTGATGAAGTGAGAAAGTATTTGGTCCCAAAGATCCCAATGATCATCCGCAGAGCCCTCCGTGTCAGCCCGTATTGTTGTAGCCACGACGCTTCCTGTCAGGCAGGACGCGCTTCGAGCCATCAACATCTCCACCACTCCGATTTTGCCGCTGTTGCACGCTGCAGCTAATACAGATTCGAACATTCCCCCCTGAAACCGAGCGTGGATATCCGCCCCTGCGTCCAGAAGAAGCTGAACAATCTCCTCACTACCCAACAGTGATGCTGCATAGAGTGCTGGCATGTGAGTCTCGTCCGAAGAGTTGGGAGTGGCGCCGTTGTTAAGAAGAAGCTGCACTATCTCTTCGTGTCCTTCGGCTGCTGCTCTCTGCAGTGCATACCTCAAGTCTATGCCACATAAGGGAATTCCTTTATCGGTTCCAAATTCTAGGAGAAGTTCGACGACTTCAAGGTGTCCATGTCCGGATGCCTCTTGGAGCGCCGGTCCTATCGTGTCTCTGAGCAATAATATCTGGCGGACTCGAGCAGAGCCGGCCATCTCAGCTCCCGAACAGAGGAGTTGCTGAACGATGCTGTGATGTCCACCGGCTGACGCTGCTTTAAGTGATTTCCCGGGAGAAAAGCCAGGTCTTCCGCACAAGATCCATTCGTCCAAGTACTTCTGGGCAGCGTCTATATTCCCAAATTCTACCGCTGTTTCCATATAAAGCTCGAACATCTCAGGACTTGTAGTGACCTTGGTGCCGTCAAAAGCTTTCAGAAGGATGCTAGTAGCTTCGCCTCCCGCTGCCATCAAAGCAGACCTGTTCAAGATGGAACAGCCGGAGGGATCATCAACCGCCCCATGTTTCAGCAGTAATCTGATAGCTTCATTTTTATTCCTGTATGATGCCGCTACTAATGCAGTTGGAAATTCATTAGTAAAGTCAGAATGCCGTCGTCCGCGATCAAGGGGTGGCATGCACCAAACTGCGTTGACCTCCGCGCCGCGCTCGAGCAGTAACTTGATGACTTCTGTCTGGCCATGAGCTGAAGCTGTCATTAGAGGTGTGCCATATGTAGTACGTGTTTGCTCCACCATTATGTTGGGGTCTGCTCCTTTATCAAGGAAGAATTCCACCACATTTCGATGACCCAAAGCTATCGCTGCTTGTATGGGTTCACCACAGCGACCGCTTCTCTCCTCCCAAGGATGACTACATGTACATGTTGAATCTTGAAGGTGACGTTGTCTTTCCAAGTCTTCGAGGAGGTTCTCTACCAGAAATAGAGCACCGACAAGGGATGCATAGTAAAGTGGAGGTGGCATCTCATCGCCTTCTCCAGCCCCGTGAGAATCGAGGTCCCATAGTTTATACCAATTCTTCATTGCCCCTTTCTTGTCTCTGAAAAGTAGTAGCATCTGATCTTGAAGCCGTAGAGCGAGACTATCGTGGGATACTTCAAGGTTGCAGTGGCTGTGGTTATCGTATAATGCGGCGCAAATCCCAATGCCCTTCCTCCAGTGGTTCACCCACTCCTTGGCAGCATATTCCGCAAAAGGATACTTTTCCACAGTCTCTACACGTCCGAACATCTGTAATTCAGATTCTAGCAGCAAAGTGAGACACATTGACGCCATCAGCAGATTTCCACAGCGCTCGTGTATACTGAAAGAAGCATATCCTTGCGGTAGGAGAATTCGATCAGACTCGAGATATTCCTGTACAGAGAAGTGGGCAATTCGAATGACAGCCAGTCTCGTGTAAGGTTCTATGGCTACTTCTGTGAAACCCGGGCAGATTTCGAGAAGAGAGTCTGCATCTGGCAATTGCCGATCTGGGTTCAAGAAGGACGTGGCACCGATTTCGATTGCCAAAGCGTTGATTAGCTCCTGCACAGTCAATGGTTTTGATGCGCAACAGAGAATCGTGAGCATCTGCTTGGCGTAGTCTTTGTCGGGAACATTCTCCAGCATTCTTTTGTAGGTCTCATCCAACGTTGGAGGTAATGATTGAAGTCGTCGATCGAGAGCCTGCTTGCTCCTTGGACACGTCGCGAGTGCTTTGAACTGACATTCAACCCAACGAAAACTTACAGTCGTCAGTATTAATAGTCTCAGATTGAGATGCGTCTACTCACACGCCATGTGCCTTCTCGGTCAAGACCTTTTCAATCAGGGAATGGTGCTCGTTCAAACGCTTAAGACGCTGTCGGAGAAATTGCGAGACATAGCTCGCAATATCATCATCTATCCCTTGGTGCTTCATCAAGATGGTCGCTTGATCTTCGATATCTATTCCTTCGCGAATATCTACTTCATCTCGGCTGGTCACCAAAAGATGTACTCCCAGCTCTGACCAATCCCGAATCTCTTTCAATGTTTCCAAGAGACCGAATCGACTAGTTTCCCGAGGGCTCTCGTCTAGTGCATCCAAAACAACGTAGACGTTTTGGAAAAGCCGTAAGACCTGACGGAAACATTGAAGTAGATCTGCCGTGGACGGTGGAATGTTGTGTTTCTTCCTCAAATCGTGTATTCTTTGCAGTGCGCATGGAACATAGTCAAGTTGGTCAGATAGCTGCAAAATGAGCGCTCGGAGCATAGCTGATGCATCCTGTTTGGATTCATCATTAAATGAAAAGAAGAAGAAACAGAGCCCGATGGAGGGGTTTGATCTACGGTGACGGAGGGTGTGCTGTATGACCGTCGAACTCAGAACAGTCTTTCCGCAGCCGGCAAAGCCCTTCAGCCAAAGAAACGAGTTTGACCCCTCCAACCAGCGAGTGAATTCAGGCCCGTTGACGAACCAAGCACCAGTTCCTGGGTGTTTCTTCGAACATGCTTCAGTAAAGTTGAAGGTCGCGTCAGGAGCATTGAGCCAAGTTCGGATCTCGGAGGAGACTTGTGAGGTTCGGATTAAGTTGAGTATGGCATTGGTATTCTCGATTTCATCTTGTACGAGATCGATGGTCTGCTGCTGCAGTAGCGATAAGGCTAGAGACAGTTGACTGATGAGATAGTCAATGTCTTCGTGCAGCTTCAGGAGAGTGCTCTCCCTAAACGGGTATGCCAAGCGACGAACGACACCTTTAATTGCAGCTCGAGCACCGTCGGTCGGTTTCTTCTCAAACTTCCTCGCTTCTTGTTCCAACTCGTCGATGGACTCCTCGCAGTGTTGGATCGTGGACTCAATGTTTTGAAGCAAAGCCGCCTCACTGGATCGAAATTTTCGATCGCTGAGATGGGTGTTCAATCTTTCGAGCAAGGATTGTAGATCTTCGAGTTTCCGCAGGGTGCGAGCAATGTCGGAGTGCTGGTCTTTCGCGGCACTGTAGTACTGGTAGATTGACTGCACGACCTGAATCCCGAGGGAAATGATCCCAACAACACTGCCTGCTGTCGACAAGGGATCCGCCATGGGTGACGAAGGTGAGAATAAGCCGTATGCGTTGCCGGTGTGTTGAATCTGGGTGGTAGAGGAAGAACTTCAGATGCTTCGAGGGCCTTGGGAGGAAATCTGGAACATAATGATTTGACTGTGCGAAGGAAGGATCAAGAACCAATCAAGCCAGTCAGCCCTGCTGCGGCTGCTCAACCTGTGAGCGTTTGCCTGCTGTGGCTTTCTGGCGAACCACCGTTGGAAGACATGCTGACGTGGGTGCAAGTGCGACACATCAACCTGCATGGGGTGGAAGACAACCAGTGAGACCCTTGCTTTAGCTTGAAAAACGCCTTGCCACATAGCCACACTACAGCTTCTTGAGTTTGTGTTCTGCGTGCATGAAGGCAGGGCCCCAAGAGGAGGTGATCCGTATCACAGAGCTTCCTTGAGTCGCTTCAACGCTCGAGTTCTCTGAGAAGTATTTCGAAGTGGCATAAACAAAGTATGACTTGTCATGTATTAGAGAAATTAAATAACGATATCTGGCCATACGGATACAACATTGACATATTCGAACGAAACGCAATTGAGGAACGGAGGCGTTGAAGCCCAAGTCCAACCTGCCTACTCATAATCGTGACAACATCATAAACGTATAGGTACTGAGGGCGAAAAGAGTGACACCCAACAGATCAGCAAGGTGAAAGGCTAAAACCTCAGAGCCACGTTGCTAATGAGGAGGAACAAACGTTAAGATGATTCAATCATCCACAATCTCATCCGAGGACGAGGACGACCCAGACATAATGGATGAAGCATCATCATAAGACGGGATACCGCCCGAGTCAGAGGTGAAATCCGTGTCCGTAGCATTAGTCCACAAAGCAACCCACCGACCGAGGTCTTTCCGCCCCTCGCCCAAGTCTTCCTCTCGCGTCAGGTTCGGTCCAAAGTCGGGCTCGAAGCCAAGCTCCGCACGCTCTCTAGGCTCAACTGTGATCACGTGCGGCATAACACGCGGAATAGTAGGCGGTGGCGGAGGAGGCATGCATCCCTTCGGCCCCGGGCCTCCAGGACGGCAGAATCCCGGCGCGCGCATCCCCCGAGGCATGGGGGGTCCCCTCCAGCAGCCTGGTGGCATGGGCGGCGGCGTGTAAGGCTCGGCCCACGTGAGCGGGTCTGGCGCGCCGGGTGGTACGAAGACGCCTCCGTTCATGCCGTCGTTGAAGGCCGAGATGCGCATGTGGAGAACGGCGCCGGGCTTGATGGTTGTTTGCCATGCCTCTGGCGTGATGACAGTGTCGTTCTCGTCGACGATCTCATATGCTCCGTCTCTCACGAGGTTCCAGAGCCTGTTGACGTCTTTGAAGCGCTGGTGGATTGATACACGCGCACCCTGTAGACGCCGGTTAGTTGAAGATTTATGGAGTACTAAAAGGGGGGGGATCTTACTTGAACGGTGCGGCACTGCTCAAATGGAATATCGTACTTTCGACCCAGAACATCAGTCATGTGAACGGGTTCTGCCGCCGGATCGACCGACATGTACACAACCGCGACATCTGGTCGGGTGGTGACATCTACAGTGATAAGCTGCCTGGTGCGGCCATCCTTTCTCTGGGCACGGAAGAGAGCACCCTGAACGGCAGAACGAAGTTGGTCGTCCTGGATCAGGAACGCGTCGCCAGGGGTCTTGGAGCTTTGCTTCAGGATGCGCTTCAGCTCGAGACGGAGCATCTTGGGCTCCAATGCCAAGAAGGACTCTGGGAATGGTCCATTTCTCAGGACCGTCGCCTCGAGATCTAGGTCGATGATGGGTGGCATGGTGTTGCGGCTGAAAATACCCTTGAACCATTTGCCAACAGACTTGAAGACCTTGGCTGGGAATCGACGCTTCGGTGACAAGAGCTTGATTTCAACCGGGCCTGCGTCAGGGCCCCCGTCCCACGGCTGGTGCCAGAAGCTTGTCGGGGCAGCCATCGGCGGTGGCGGAGGAGGAGATATATCAATCTCAACGACGGGCGTGACCTTGGCATTCTCCTCCGTCTTATCACCACAAAGGGATGGCGCCCTAGAGTCATTAGCTGTCTCGCCAGACTTCCAGGATTCTGCGTCATCTTCAACGCCGCTGCCGCTGACTGATGATGCTGCTGAAGATTCGTAAACGCTCTCAGTGTCAGGCTTGTCTGCAAGCGCCAGACGTTCCTTTCTCTCAGCAATCTCGACGAGTTCCTTGGCGGCTTTGCCCTTGCATGTCAACAAACGCATTGCCAGACTCCTTGAGGCCAATTCCTCGTCAAAACTTCCAGGATATCTCGGTCTGAGGAGTGGTTAGCTAAATCGTTCATCGTCACGGCATAAGGTGCACTTACTTGATCTGAAGGCCAGCAATACCAGCTACTTGAATGTGGAGGAGCAGACTTGCTTTGAGCCAGCGCAGTTGGACCTCACTCGTCTCAATGGCTTCCTCGACCATATCCCAGTCCATGTTGTCGCTGATTGCATGCAGCCTGGATGCCTTCAGGTCCTCCGTGCTAAGGGACTCAAAGTCCACATCTTTGACGACTTTGACAGCAAGACTTGCTCTATAAACGCTGCGGATAATGGTGGTATACACCTTTCCACATCTCGTTGCAAGATCTTCGATGGCTTCCCGACCATCGTACCGGTAGACGGGTGATACCTCAAGTGCATCAGCGGCGAGAAATTCCCGCAGCTGGCTTAGTGCTGCCGCTGTAGCAAGGACATCGTCACTGAGACTGTGGATATCGCTATCTGATCCAGAGGTGCCGAGTTGATAGATTGCGAGCTTCGTAGCAAGCTGTACACCCAATTTGGCGATGCCAGCCAAGTCAACGAAAGAGGCAGCCATCTTGTGCAGAATGCCAGCTACTGAGATGGTCACGAAAGCAAAGGGAGGACTGAGAGAGGACGGTGCCAACAGGATATCGGCTCCTTTCTTGCACTTGAAGCATGATGAAGAGCGGGGTATTTATCTCCTGTCAGCACTGCATTCTAGTTGCAAGCCTCATTTTGTGTCATTGGGCTGGGCAAGCTGCAAGCTTCGAGATTCCCGTTGGCTGGTCAAAACGAGTGTCCAATGAGCCGCATCAAGCGATGGTGCTACAGTCTGTTTCTTGCCCTTGGAGGTTTGAGATGCAAGGTGTTCTAGAATCAGTGGCTCGATAGGAGTCGCTATCGTGAGGCCATTTTTGACTGTACCGCATCGTCATGTAGCCACGGCACATAAAAGTGATGCAATTGGACCAGCAGATGCAGCTGTAGCCCCAAGCACAGCATCAGGCTTTTCTTGCGATGCATTGAAGGTGGGCTTGCTGTGGCACAGATTCTTGTTCGGTGCTGTCTCGGGTTGCGAATGGATCTGGCTGCCTCATGTTCGTATTAGTGAGGCCATCATCACGACTCACGAGCGCATTTGCTCGGGGAATGCATCGTCGAAGGAGAGCCTGCCTGAGGTGTCTGCAGGCTATAGGCATCAGCTGCAGGCTGCGATTGTTTTAGGTTTCTCATTTGGGTAACAAGAAACAAAGTGGAAGTACGCTGCAGGTGTGAGAGGCCCTGCCCAATAGATTCAAGGTACACGTGATTTAAACGGCCTCCCCGTCCGCGCGGGGCAGGTACGGCAGGCGCGCTTTCCCCCGCCCAAAAATGGAGAAGTCGGCAGGAGCCACGCGCAATGCATGCCGTGTCCCGTCCGTCTATTGCTTCCACAAAGTGACCAGGCAGTTAGGCAGGCACGGCAGGTAAGGCAGATCAGGCAGATAGGTGGGCGAATTCAGGCAATTCCTTGCCAGTGATGGTTCGCCTTTAGCTTCATTGATGCACCGCAACTCTGTTCCACACTCGTCGTGAAGGTCTCGAAGCCGCGCAGGTGCTCGCTTGCGTCTGGAGCCAGCCTGCAGGATCGTAACTATTGTCTGTAGCTATCCGATGTGTCCTGTGAGGCTGCCAAAACAGTCCAGATACCGAGATTCTGAAGATCCTGGTATCCGCCTCGGCCTCGTTGGACGCACATCTGAGCGCGATTCGACGACATTCTGTTGTGACATAAGAGCTTATTTGTCTTTCGCCTAGACTATCGGTCTCTTCCATAGCAAATTGGTACCCACGTTGACTGCCCCGGAGTGACTTTCTTCTATGGCCAGTAAGGCAGATGTGGTAATGCCGATTGTCACAACTAAGTAAGCAGCCCAGATCACATCAACACCCAATGAATTCCAGATCTCATTCTTCCCAACCCAAAGCCTAAACCCAAACCCAATGTCAAGCTACCCAGAAAGCAAGCATCCAGCCTGAGGCCACCCGTCGGCCACATGCTCCTTATAAATGCACCGAGAAGCGCAGGCTTCCGTGGTTGAACACAGCACATCCAAATTCAATCTTCCAGTCTTTCGGACGCAACAAGAACGTGTGGCTTTAGTTGAGCAGGATGCCCAAGCACCGAGCTTATCGCCCTAAGCCGGAACAACCCATTCTCATCAATCTCATCACCGGTCCTCATCCCGTCCCTGCCTCGGCATATTACCGGTCGAATAATTCACCAAGAACTAATAACCTGAGACCCAGATTGCTAATTCGAATAGGGTATTCAAGAAGCTCTTCTGCCAGAAGTTCCTCAACTGTCCTCGCAATATGTAACACCTGGTCTGCCCATTGACATGTGGACATCAACCACCCGGACAAACTGAACCAGATCAGTCAGATCGGTCACATCAACTTGCTTTCATCTTCCATGTTGGCGGAGACGAGGAGTCCTTATATATGAGAGCTAGATAGACGCCTGAGCCCGAGGCTGCCTGGTACTTGCATCGGCCATATATAGATCAGGTTCTGAAGTCTTGTGTAATCCAGCCTTGAGAGGCCAAGACCGTAGAACCTACCCAGTTGCAAGTCAAAGCTCAGCATGTACAATCACAGAGTCGCAACAAGTCACTCATGAAAGACCAGCAATATGACCCGTGACAATTACAATTGGCAGGTTTTCCCTCATCTTCGAGTTCCCGAAGGATAGAGATACTCTATATATCTACGCTCAATCGGTCCCGAAAACCGGCAACATTGGTTTCCCACCTACGCACACAATCCATCTACATCCACCCTTTGTACAACTAGAAAAGTAAAGCCGGCCGTTTAGGGAAAAGGTCTAATCGCTGTAAAAATGCCCAAAAAAGAGAGTAAAGTAAGGTAGGGGAGAAAGAACAGGGTTTGTCGGCATTGGACAATGAAGAAGAGTGAAAATGTGCCATGTTTTTTTACTGAAGATGCATCACTAGTGATGCGAAAACCGTAACCCCGTTTTCACACGTGAAGGCCGAAACAGTTGATTTGAAAGAGACAACGTCTCGCTCCGGGGGCAACACTGTAACGATTTCATATCTAACCTGTGGCCCGCATGCGTATGGACGGAATGGATCGGTAAATGTCGCCACGGTTCCCGGGGCGATTGCCTGGAGCTCGTTGATATTCATAGCCTCTCGGGCATGTAGTGGCATTCGTAGCAGCGCCTGTTCTCCAGGATAGGTACCCTCCAAATCCCATTGAAAACTCTCATGTCTGGTTGTTTCTGCTGCCAGTGCTCTGCTTCATACCTCGTCGCTCTTGCCAGCGAGACCACGAAACCCAGTTTGAAGCAAGTCTTGTTCGTACATCATACACCATAGTTCTGCGTGGGCACGTTCAGCCGTAGAAGAGCTCGAACTGGGTCGCGAATCCGGGTTCTGTCGGCTTGACCTCCTTGATGGGATGGAGGATCATGGGTGGCAGACACGGACGACCGTGCGCTCTCTCCCAGTTCTTGCCGCCAATCTTAGTGTCGACATATCCGATCCAGTTGTTGTACAGTCTTGGTGGGGGTTCGGCGCGGTAGTACCAAGTCATGCCCTGGTATCTACGCTCTCTTCCCCAGCCCATAGGACTGCCCTCGCCACCGCTCTCGCCGCGAGGACCAGGATTGAACCACTTCTCGAGGAAAGTGCCATTCCAGGGGCGGTCAAACCAGGTAGGGTGAGGTGCAAACACAGTCTTGAAGCCGTGGAGAAGCGCGACAGTCTGAGGGGTCATCTCCGACGCAATATGGTTGCCACGAAGATTCTCAACATGCATGATGTCCAAGAGGCGCTTGGAGACACGAGATTGGGTGACAATGGTGGTTCGGCGGGGGAGGGTTTTTGCAGGGTCGGGGAACTTTTCGTCTCTGTAGCCCCAAATGTGGTCCGAGATGATCCAGCTGCTGTTGATCGGGTTGAAGATGGGGCCGACAGTGATCATGTCCGCATCCTCGCCAACTCCCCACTTGTACGGCTCCTTCTCAGGGTTTTCGACAGGAGGTTTAGGGCCGACGGGGTTGATGAAAGGCAGCTTGGGCGGGCCCCAGATCTGGTTGCCGCGGGTGCGCTGCTCAACGTCCTTGCGGAAGTCGGTATCGTAGTCTCCGTGGAAATCGGGGATATAGTAACGCTCGTTGCGCTCCCACAAACCTCTGCGAGGCTGTTTCTTGGAGAAGTCGGAGAGGCGCTTCAGGAAGTCGTAGTTGTGGCCGATGATTCTGGCGTCCATTTCCCAATTCCAGATAAAGTCGAACTCAGGGTGGTCCTGGCTGAACTTCTGCACCGACAGCCATTGGGCAGAATGCACACTCTTTTCGTTCTCGTCGGTAAGTGCTGTGTACAGGTTCCACATAGCCTGGTCATTCCACAGCTTGGTGATGCCGTGGAACTCGAGAGGCACATGCTCGTTGAGTACGTATTGGTACGTGGCTTCGTCGTTCCAAATGTCGAGAGCCTGGTCGCGAACGTGCAGTAGCAGGAAAACCTGATATTCGCCACCAGATCGGAGCGAAAGCTCAGAAATGAGGGAACGAATGACCTGCTTGTCGTTCTCCGTGTACTTCTTGCCGGTATAGGTTCGAAGAAGGACAGCAGTACGGGCGTCGGGAGTCGTCACCTTAGCGCCCTTGGACCCGCCCCTGAACTTGTTAGTAAGGCCTCGTTTCTCGTTGGCCTCCTCTTCCTCCTCGACCTCCTTGCCGTACTTCTCAGCGATGTCGGGGTAAGCAGTCTTGATGTACTCGTTGGGCTTTCCCTCGTCGAAGCGGGCAGCGTTTCTCTCAATACACTTCTCCTGAAGGTCGCCCCAGTTGATGTTATCCCAGTCAATGCGAAGACCGGCCTTGCTGAGTTGAGGAAGAAGACCGTAGGGTCCAAGTCTGGTCTCGCGCTCGTAGCAAATGTTGCCATCCATGTCCAGGACATCGAAGCCGCCGAAGCCCGGGTTGGGGAATTTCGCAGGATGACCCTTGAAGACCAAGAGATCATCAACGGCCTCGCCAGTCGCACCAATGCAGGGCACATGAGGCGCGCGATGCGTCTTGTTCCATTCTTCGCTGTTGTAGTCGGGATAAGGGTTGAAGTAGACCGGTCGCTGGTTGGTGTAGGCCTCCTCCTGCGTGCCAGACTCACGGAGGTTGGCGGCGTGCTCGGCGGTCCTGTTTTCCTTATCTTTCAGAGAGTTAAGTGTGTTTCCGTAGATCGCGTCGTTGCCGGGAAGCCTGTAAAGTTTAAAATGTCAGTCTCTCCTGCATGCGTGACAGCTGACGTTCCCGCAGTCGGGATTGGCAGGAGGGCACGTACTTCTTGGCAGCTTCATACTCCCGCGCGAATTCGTCTCGCAGATCTTGCTCGTGCTTTTCTCTCTCTTGCTTTTGTCTCTCCTCATCCTGCTTCCTCTCCTCTTCCGACTTTGGCGGTTCAGGAGGTGCGGCCTTTTCAGGGGGTGGAGAGGTGCCGTCTTGGTTCCAGGGGACGACGTGATAGCCGGCAGGAGCGCCGCGTGTGGCCAGGAAGTAGACGGTGACAATTGCCAGAGCGAGAAAGAGCAGCGTCTTGGGGCGAGCCCTCGGGGCGATGAAGCCTCTCGATGATTGTTGTTTGAGCATGGTCAACATGGCCAGCGCGGCAGCGGCAAGCGGCGGCGGGCGGCGGTCGACTGGGGATTATTAAAGAATCGGCAATCCGCTGTGGAAAAAAAGGGTGCTGATCGAACGGGCGATTGGGTATAGGTTACGGTTGGAATGTTTGCCGCGGCGCTATAGAGGCATGCTGCGGCGGTCGGGAAAACACACAACCAAAGGAATGACGACCCGAAGCGCTGGTCTTTCGAAGTTTGAAAGGAACGTGGTGAGTTCTCTCGCGCCTCGCAAAACCCAATCGAGAAGAAACCTGGCTCGAACGACAACAACGCTGCAGTGTGAGCGGGACCTGTTATGGGGGCTTGGCGAGATTGGATAAGACTCGTTGATTAGAGAGTGGCACGGCTCCTATCAAAGGAGACCCAGTTGGGATTTTTTTCGGGGGTGTGGTGCAATGGATCGGACGGGGGGCGAGTAGGTAGCGCGGGGGAAGAAAGGGAGGAAGAGACAGAAAAGTCTAGACTGGAACACGCCTCTCCGCAAAATCCAGGTGAGATCTGAAGTGAAACGGAGACAATGTCGACGATGGTGTTTATTGCTATTGCCGCGATTGCAGAAAGATTTTTGTTTCTACCACCAAGAGCCAGAAAGGGGAAGAAAGGAGAAGGAGTGGAAGGCAGGTGGAAGGACAGAGACGACTACGACAATGGCAGTGGTAGGATTCAGAACTCAGGAGAGAGAGGAGGTCGAGTCGAGCTCTGGGCAAAGAATAGTGGGCAGGAAGGACAAGAAAAAGGAAGGCGCACTAACTAGGCAAGAGGCAGGAGGATCATGGAAGGGGAAGCAAGGAAGTTGAGAAAAAAGAGGAAAGGGCGACCGCCAATCGAGTTGCTCCATTGCTTAGGTAGAGACCCAGGGTACGAAGTACATCTCGTAAGGTACAAGAACGACGTGGGATCTAAATTGGATAAGAAAGAACGATGTACATACAATTGGCCGCCTACTCTCTCCTACACTTCAAGGAGGGCACGTAAGCACGAAAGGTAGGTACTTTGGCCCAAAATGTACCTCGAGGTATCTCAAAGGCGTCCCGCGGATATCTGCAGATAGACCGCGTACGTCGCCGCATTCACATTGCAACACGCAAAAGGAGACAGACAGCAGCAAGCCAACCAACCAAGTCGCAAAGTGACGAATCCGACCATCCTCCGAGTCGGATGTAGATCGCCAGTTACGTGAGAAAGTGGCCACCGTCCACCTAATTTCTAAAAGAGGGACGCAAATGTCGCCCACCGGTCCTCCCTGAGTCCCTCCACCTCTTGTTGACAAGAGGATTGGATGGGAATCAGGTCCTGGCTGCTGGCGCCGGCACCCGGCAATTAATCCATCACACCAGACTCAGGTCGCGCGGGATGGGCGGGACCTTTGCTGTCACAGTTGGCATGGATATACGGTATGACGGACTTTTTTTTTTTTTCTTTCTGCCCAAACATCTCTGCCAGACTCCAGTGGCATTCGGCAAGCGACACTAACAGAAAAAAGGGGAGAGCCAAGTTCGGACCGGATTCACTGGAGCCATATTGAAGCACTTTAATCGCAATCGTCCCCATCCACGATGCCTTCCAAATTTACACACCATAGCGGCAGCTGGCAGCGCGCTTTATGTTTCGCCGGTTAAGCCAGCGATCAGTGGATGTCTCAATCTCAGGAGGGTGATTGCACCAGGACACCTCATCTTGTTCTGCATCCCGTTGATGCTGCCCGGACGAGACAAACGAGAAGATTTTCAAAATCCAAGACGACAAAGAAAGCCACGCGTTCGACCTCAATGCCGAGTTATCAAGCACAGGTCCCGCGCCGTTGGTCCTGTTTCGCGAACAAAGAGCAAAGTATCCTTCACTAGAGGCGACTTGACCGAAAATTTTGGCCAAAAGTTGAACGCCCTGAAAGACGGTGTTGGCTTGTTTCTCTTCCCTGACCAATCCAAGCCGCATTTGCTTGGCTAAGGTACGCTGCGAAACCAGGAACGGCACCAAAAAGTGGCGCTTCTAAAACCACGCTAGTCCCGAGCTCCCCTTTCCATGACACCCCTGTCGATCCGAGTTAATCGCCTTTTTCTTCCAAAGTACCGAGACACCCAATTTCGGGCGTCGAGATACCTCATCAGCTCAGCTAGCCCCTTACGCTGAAAAAGCACTTTACACGTACCTTGCCGCTGCCGGATATCCCACGCGTCTTGGCTGCCTCAGCGAGGGGAAGTGTGGAAGGCCTTGCAAACGACGAGGCAGAGATGGCAATTACGTCCGGATACCGCACGAATAAGGAGGAGAAGTGCGACGTGTAAGGGGATAACAAGTTTCTCGAAGGGAATACGCGGGTCTAACCGTTCCCGCTCATTCTCAGCTATGACACCAAGTCACTAACAAAGACAACCGACTCGGCTTGAGGAGTGGGAGAGGTAGTTGAAGAAGATCTTCACGGCCCTCTGCCCGTTCAAGAAGGTGCCACTGAATGTCATTGTCTCCAGAAGGGATCACATCACACAGACACCCGCAATAGACAGTGCCCTCTGCCTCACACTTTGGCCTTGCATCAGCAGAACAGAAAGCCTGTGCTCTCAAGATCAAACCAGCATAAATGCGCGCGACTTCGAACTCTTCGATGTCTCTTCCAATGCAGTCTTGCTCTGATAGCTTCCGAACCAAGACGCACGACATAACCACTTGCCTACGCTCTACCGCAGCGCAAGGCAAGGAGAGACCGGCTGCAGTCTGCAGGTGACTTGCGGCTGTGGACGCAGGGCGAGCGCTCTTATCTCGAAATTGCAAACACATCATTTCCATCAATGAGAGGCGTCGCGAAAGAAAAGATTGATGGGGGAAAAAGAAACTTCCCAATCAAGCCATCGCCAGACCTCACGTATCATGTCTAACAGCTGCAGCAAGAGAAGAAATCACAACATCCCCCTTATCCACCACCGTCCGCCAAAAACATCTGGCTAATAGGCACGGGCGCTCTGCTTTGTCTTCCCCTTACCTTGCCAAGTTGTCAGCAATTCGCGTACCACCGTCACGTTCATCCAACAACGTCTGGCATTCTATCCTCTCCTGTCCGACCACGTTGACTTCCTGGTGTATGTGTCGACGCTCGACAGTCTCAGAACGAGCGAGAGGCCCGCCATCCATCCGTCTGACGTCCCATCCACTCTTTCTATTTCCATCTAGCAATGCGCATGCGCTCCACGGAACACCCGCTCGCAGTGAAACCCAACCGGGCCACTCTCAACCAGACGAACCACTGACACTGTCCTCTGTACGGACACGATGTGCGCCAGAATGTAGTCAGCCAAGGCGACTCGGATTGTCCTTCAACCGTGCGAAGTATCCAGCGCACGATGCCAGCCTCATCAACCCACGACACTAGCCACTCTTCTTGAAACAACCTCCTGGTGGAGCATGACATTTTCGCAAAACTGAAGTACTCCACCAACTTTCGACATGGAAGTACCTACCTACTTATTACGGCATCTTACATGATTACTTAAGCCTAGGACAAATGACTTGAGAGCTTCTGAATGAAGCCATCACAATGATGTATATCCTACTCACCTCGAAATGAAAGCCCACTAACCCTCGAAAGAAAATTGAAGTCTGGGAAGTACGGACATGCCAAGCTTTCCATGCTACCATATGTAGACGCTATCTAGTCTATTCCAAGATCTGTCCTATGCCCGCCCACCTCATTCGTTCCATCTGCTTCGAGGAAATATCGACATGAGAAAACAACAGTCCCTCAAAATTCATCTCTCAGGCCAGCAGTGGTTGCATGGGTCTTCAGAACATGGCGAGTTCTCGACAATGTGCCCTCCCAGCGTCCTCTTCCGCGTGAACAGTACGTCCAGCTCCCATCGGCCGATTCATCTTAGGAAAAGAACGGTCTTGAGAGTCATGAGCAATGACCTGTTCGCTGCGAGATTCAGGTATCTGCAGAGGGAAGTTGAGAGTCGGGGTCGATGTTCAAGTTGATGAGATCGGTAGAGGGTGCAAGTCTGAGATGACGCACAACGAGGCGGGATGAGAGCTTGTCGGCTTGCATCCCACAAATCGATACCATCCGGTCTAGATACATCAAAGAATAGACTATTTTGATCATGGATGGCGACTGTATACGACGTGAATACAAATAGAGAGCCACGAGCCGAGACTGTGCCATCGTCAGTCAGACTGACTTCGGGTAATTCACATGCAACACAAATTTCTGGCAAATAGTTGAAGATATTGACTCAAGATTGATCTTTCTCTTGGGGCTTGCTACGGGTTATGGTCTCAAAACCGGCGAGCCTCTTTTGATGGCTAGCTATGTACAAGCACTCATGTGCAACCCCATCGCCTGCAAGGTACTTCCTTTGCTTCTTCTTGCCATGTAATTCGGAATGTCTCCAATGTTGTAAATGGCTTCCCCCTTCCCCAAGAGCTTCTGTGAAGCTCATGCTCAAAACGGAGACGAGACAAGCGCGTCGTCCGATGCAGGTATCAACAGAGTCCACAAAGGACTGGGTATATAAAACTCAGATGGTAAACAAAAAATGGAAGTGTATGTGGTGAAGGTTGAGATGAGGTTTGTGTCGTGGTCGTAAGCGTGTCGTGGGGTATTAAAAATGCATTGTAAATGATGATTCATATACGACGAATCGAATACGTTTAGTCGGAAAGGATCCGGGTTGGCATTCCTGGCGGTTTACATCATTCCGAGTCTCGTCATGCGCTTGTTCATGGTAGGCGGCATGGGCGGCGCAAGTCCGGCACCGGGACCCATTCTCTGCCCGCGAGGAAGGCCAATTGGTGGTCTCATGCCGGTCTGTCCGTTACTGGGTCGGCGGCCACCTTGTCCGGGAACACCGAGACCACCAGGGGAGCGTCCTCGTCGCTCTTCGTTGACCATTCGAGGCGGTGGTTGCATGCGGCGCCAGGCGTCCTTTTCGCAGTATGATCGGCCGTTGACTTCGAAGTAGCCGTTTGACAAGGACATCCCGCAGT